GACCAAACGTGGTTGTTGGTCCAAGTATGGAAGAAGCCGCTTGAGGAGATGTCCGACAATCCCAAGTCGTCACAAACTTCCAAGAGGTCCATGGTGTCCCGGTTAGTGACCCTAACCCCCTTAATTCTCTCTTTCGGTTTGAGTATAGCATTAAAGTCCCCGAGGAGTAACCAAGGTAAGAATATCCTCCCCCGAAAGACCCTAAGGTCGTTCCACAACAATTATCGGTCTCCTCTCGTATGGAGTCCATATATAAAGCTAACTATGAACGAGTGGATGTTAACTTTGCACCGGATGTTTTCAAAAATGACTTGAGGCAAGGTGGCCTCCATCGTGATGTCAACCTTCATGGGGTTCTATAGGATGGCAATGCGCCCACAGTCAACAACGTCAAAATTCTCGCAAAAAGCCCAACCCAGCAACCTTCTATCCATAAAGAGATATAGCCGCCTATGGTCGGTTTTTGTTTCCAAAAGTCCTAAAACATCAATGTTATTTATTCGAATGAGGTTTACCACCTCATCTTGTTTTAGGGGCCCGTTAAAGCCCCTAATGTTCCAAGAGGCAATAATCATTGGGAAGAAGAAGGGTGACCCCCCTTCTTCGCCGGGTTTCCTGTTCCCCTGTCTTTCCTCTCGCTTGGTTTGTCTCTAAGCTTGGAGTGTTGACCCGAAATTGGCGGCTTGACTCGTGGTTCCACTTCGAGTAAGAATTTTGTTGTATTTTCCCACCAAATGGAAGGAGTCATCATCATTGTCCGGAGGGGTCTCAAGGATTTGGTGTTCCGAGTCCCCGGATGGAGAGGAGGATGGGCCGACATCCATAGTGGCCACCGTCTCTTTGCTCTTTTCACAATCTCCATTTTCTTCTAATTCATCACCTTTCTTTTGTTGTTTCTCCACCACCCACACTTTCTTAGGCTCATGGTTCTCTACTTGCTTTTTATTGATGTCCACCCCCTTCTTGGTTTGTTACTCTTCTTGTTTCGTTTGGTGTTCGACCGGTTTCTTTGTCCCCACGGTCTCACCTTGTCCGACCGGTTTCTTGCCTTTAGCCTTTCCCTCGAGGTGAACTTTGTGTTTACCACAATTGGAAGTAGAGTGTCCAATAAATTTGCAATGATTGCAATATTGCGAGACGTACTCATATTCTACCTTTTGCTCGAACATTAATTTCCCCTTGGATTTGACGGGAATGCTATAAACTTTTTCCTTGGAGAGGTCGAGCTCCACCAAAATCCGAGCATAGTTGCAACGGTCTCTCGTAGCCGTGAGTTTGTCGGTTGTGATGGGTCGACCGACGGAAGAGGCTATCTTGCTAAGGGCCTTTGTGCTCCAACATTCCCATGAGAGGAGGGGGAGATTGATCCAAACGGGGACGGTTTTGATGTCATCCTCGCCGAATTGGAACCAATTAGGGAGCATTTTGAGGATGAGTCCTCGGACGTAAATAGAGTAGGGGCCTTCTTGAAGGACTTTCTCTCTATTCTCTTCATTCTTGAACTTGAAGACGATCCATCCATTCACATTGGGGATGCATTCATATTGGACTTCTCATGAGTTACATAGACTCAACAATGCTTCCTTGCCCAGGTGCCTTTGGGTAAAGTACCCGACAAGGCAAAAGCCCCACGTGCTCGTAACGTCCAATAAGTCTTCGTCGTCTAGGTCCACCCCATTATCCGGTGGAATATAGTTCAATTTGAGACCAAGAGAGGTTTTGCAGTTGTCGGCAAAGAGGGCCGATAATGGCCTCTTCTTTAGTGAGTCGGGATTTTTGTCGAACACCTTATGGGCCTGTTTCAAAGGTTGCTTTGTGGCTTGAGTTTGTTTCTCCACTTGCCCAACCTGTGCCTCAACAACTATTTCATCATTAGTTCCATCAATTGCAGCTGGAGTTACATTATTTTCACCATTAGTACTATCCTCAAGATTAGCCAATTTATCATTATCATCCATTTCCATTTCAGCCATGCTAGCTAGTTCATCACCCGAGTCCTCTTGGGAGGCGTCATCCTGTTCGTTGGAGTGGCCGGAGCACTCCTCATCCGTCAATTTCCGATAACGGAGCTTCTTCCTCGATCTTGATTTGCCCATGGAGAGAGCAGCTAGCGGGTTCTGTAACAAGTGCTAGGTTGTGGTATTTAACACAGTCAATGGGAAAATTCGTAGCTCATGGATTATTAGGACTTAGAGCACTCAAATCAATTAGTTGGCAGAGATCAAATGATATGATTCACTAGAATTTTTGGTAGCATCGAAGATCAAGTGGCTAGAGAGATGACTCTTGAAAGCTTAAAATCAAACCAAAGTGGATGAATTTTAGCTTAAAAGATTCAGAAAAATAAGTGTAATCTCGAGAGTGAGTAATCAAGTGTTGAGATCGATTGAAAATCCGTGAAAATTGAGCTAAAAAAGACTCGTAGGTTGCTACTCTAAACATTTTTAATCCATACGCACGCAATATGACGAAGATGTTGCTGTGAGAATGACTTACATAATTATCCATTCACAATTATTTGTATGAAACTTCCCATATCGAAAAATTAAATGTTTCAAGTCCAATGTATAAGTTTGGTGGACTACTAATTCTATTGCCAATTAGTTGAAAATGTTATTTCATTTAGACTTGTATATTGGGCTTGATGTGGAGAACTGGACTTGAATTGTTTGTCCTAACAATTGGTGTAGCCCATTTAGAAAATTAAAGGTTCTAAATTCATAACTGGACTTGTTGGTCCTAAACAGTACTGTTTATTGTATATGGTAAAAATTATGATTTCTTTTTTTCCATCGTTAGATTGAATTAATTAATATATCACATCATAGGTATCCCGAACATTATTGGTATCCGATTACATTATTATATTCGACAAGCTTATATGGTTCCTAGCTGGCCTTAAATTATTTAATTAACCCAAGAATTTAGACTATTAATACATTAAATTCAAAGGCATACAGAATAGTAGATTATTAATTATTGATCCACATGGTAAATTCTTGCAATATATTCGTGTTCACAAGTACTAGAATTTTGATGGAATACATTCTATGAGTTTCATTTTTATCGATCGATCGTTATTTTTTATTAAAGATACTAAAAATAGAAAAGAAATACGTCACTATAAAAAAGACTTTTACATTCCAACAGAAATTTTTCGTTAGAATTTTTTTATATTTCCGTTGGAATAGCTATTCCAACGGATATTCTTACGTATAAAAATCCGTTGAAAAAACGGCCGTTGGAATAGCAAATATGCAACGAAAAATCCTATGGAAATAAATTCCTACAGCTATTTCAACGGAAAAAATCAGTTGGAATTCTTTAATTATACAACACTTATTCCAACATAAAATTAAATTTGTTGGAATATTCATTGGAATTTCCAACGAAAATTTTTGCCGTTAGAATTGTAGTGTTTTTTTTTTGTAGTGCGTGGATTCATAATTAACATATATATAGAAAATAACCTTACGTAGGAATAAATTATTCGCACAAAAAGCAATTACCTTTTCTTAAATTATAAAAAATGTATGTCCTTTTTACTAAGCTAAATATAATTGGGACTGTAATTATCTATTAAGTAGCCCATTTGTCAGTTCATCAATGTCAATGTCTATAGATAATTTTATTAAAATGGCAATTTACTAGCTTAAGTGGGAACCTAATCTTCTTTTTATTTTTTTTTACAAGAAAGGAAGGCAAAGTCTAAGCGCTTAACGCAAAAACGTTTTTAGGATGAGCGACACCCATCTTATCATGAAGCAACCACATGCTCGCCCCCGGTGGGGGACTTTCCAATCGTTGTAAACCGCCTGGACACTTCGCCGCCAAAGAGGCTAAGAAATCTGCCGCAAAGTTGGCTTCCCGATAACCATGAACGATGTGCACCTCCCACTGGCGAGATAAGAGCTCGAGTATACCTTTCACCAAAGCGCCATGCGGGCCACAACTACGCTCGTTGTACAGTACCATCTCAAACAATGCTCTTATTATCAACTTCAACGGTAATCATAAATTCTTATGTGACAGTACATTGAAATCATTAGAAAAGTCGATACATCATTATTTTTTAAAAACATGTATATATATTTATGTTATGAAATATTATATTTTATATTAAATTTATTTTTATAGTATAATATTTCAATTTTTTGAAGTATATTTAATTATTAAAACAGTATTAATATTGTCTAACCCTTAGGCATGACTAATACTATTCCGCATAGCTATAATTTCTAAAATGAATTTTCCAATTACATCCCCAATTTAAGGAAGTTATAAGCTCCAAAAAGACTTTTTGTTTTTTGGCCTGAAAACACTCCCCCGGCCATGATATGATCAGCTTTAATTTTTGTGTCCTATGCACTTTATAATAAAGCTAAAAAGCAAGCATATAAAGAATAATTAAAAAGAAAATTAATTTATCATTTTTTTTTTTTTTTTTTTCAATAGAAAGAAAAAAAAAATGAAATATGCTGGAAAATAAAAAATACAAAGGGGCTGCTGCCTTGCCTTACTCAAGTACCCCACAAGTATAAAATAGTCCTTAATTGTGTTTGACAAAGACAATATGGGGTTTTGTTTTCCATCTGCCTCTTCTGGGAAAAGCAAACACACCTTCTGAAAGCTTCATTAAGGGCCTGTTTGGCTGGGTGCACCAACAAAGAAAATATAGGAATTTTATTGGAGAATTTGTATCATAATATATAACACAAGAAATTAATATTCAAGGGAGGGAGAGCACAAAAAA